TGATCGACTCGTTCCTATATCCTTCCCGTACACAAAGGGGGTCTTGACCAAACGCCTCGAGCTCCCAACCGGCTTCGCCAACCGAATACACGCCTCGGTCTCAGGCCTATTGAGCCCAGGGGATCCCACGCTGACCACCCACTGCCAGGGTCATTGGGAACAGGCCTCACCGCCCGTCTGAGGGATGCCAAGTGTTGGACCGTTGGTTGCAAGGGAGTGACTCAAGAACCTTTGTTTATCAACGGAAGATACAAGAGATCGATCCCAGATAATGAATTGTGTCTGATACAATCTACGATCTCTATATTTATACTCTGGTCCATGAGGCGGTAACTCCTTATTTTGGACTCGGATCGCTACGCGGCTTGGCAACCGCATAAAACCGTCAGTCATCCGAGCTGCCGGTCGGTCGCGTCGTTATAAACCGCCCGCAACTACAATCACCCGAACTCAAACGGTTGATCCCGCATACAGCAGCCTGTATGCGCCCGATGTTTCTGTCGATTCATCTCCTCGTCATCTTGCCAGCGGTTGCAAACCGCAAGTAACCTCCGGGACAGTCGAACCGTCGCGGCTGGTATATCCGCGTTACAGTTGTAACTCCCCGCGCTTAAGCATTCGCACTCCCGTCGAATGGGTCGTGGACAAGATCGATGGTCATATAAGACCAACTGTCGTACATCCCTCGGACCCACTTCCGGTAGCCTCGTGCCAAACGCCCGCTGGTATCGAGCAGGATTTCTCCTGGCTCGAACTTGTGATCGTGGGGGAGGTCGATGTAGTCTCCTTGCTCCTCAGATACCTCCATTATTGGGACGGGTCGGTCTTGATGATGGATTCGAGGCTGAGCTCAGGAGGGTCGTTGGTGGCGACTCTTTCAACTGGAGGGCGTCGAAGTCGTGTTGGATATCCTCGGGTGAATCCTCGAATCCTGGTGGGATGATGGGGAGTGGTGATCCCCGTGCTGGAAGGGACTCATATTGGTACATGGGGTGGCCTGGCTTTAGGTCTCGGGGATCAGGGGGCCCTGAAGTCCTGAAGACAGGAGAGTCGGGGAGAGTTGGCTCATAGTTGGGAATGAAAAAGTGAGCTGGAAAAATAATGAAAAGATGGTGATGGTGGTGAGGTTTATAGCCGCTGGCCGGGCCATGAGGTGACTCTCTAACCCTGACGGTTGCGGCTCGGTTGGCAGTTGGGATGGGGGTGATTCCTGTACCCTAACTGTCGCGGCTCGAGCGGTTTTTAAATGGCTGTCGATTCGTATGGCAGGTGAGGGGTGAAATCCGTATCCTGGCGGTTTGCAGCGCGATTCGGGATGGTCGGTTGGTTTTATAAGGATTATTTATGGAGGAGGGGGGGTTACTAATATGCGCGGCTCGGGCGGTTGGTCACGTCCGGGTTTGTAGGTTGGCGACCATGGCTGTTGGTGGGGGTAGGTCTGGGAAAATGGCATGGGTGGTGGGTGCTGGATGTGAAGTTGGTCGATGAGCCATTCGAAAGACCGTTGTTGCAGTGTGCTGTAGGCTGGAGCTTGGTCGGCTTCAAGCTGAAGGGGGAGAGTCGGCTCGCCTTCTCTCGACCATCCGTCCGAATTCCGATGTCCTTCGTCCCAAAACGTTTCCCCTCCCTCCTCCAGCCTCGCAAGCTGGATCTTCTGTCTCGAGCTGACGCTTGGAGATCTTATACTTTTTGGATTGGTGTAGGAACGGGTTCATCGCCCGTCTGAGGAATGAATCTATACGTATGGAATGGGCGGTTTTGCAGTTGGGGGCGGTTGGAATCTTTTGAGATTCTAGGGGGGGTAAAAAGTCGGTTGAGTGCGTGGGCGATGGTTGATGCTTGGCTGTCCCCCACGAATGATTCGTCATCCCCTGATGACGGTGGTGCGAGTCGGGCGGTTGGGGAAGATGAATCGGCGCCCGACGCTGATGAGGGTTACTTTCGTAGCTTATAAAGGGCACCTTTTCGCGTGGCTGCCAAAAGAATGGCCATCTTTTGTACTGAGCTTGATCATGTTACCGCGGAGGGACGTGGGTAGGCTGACCACGTCGGCGACGACTCGGACCCAAGGGCGATGACCGGGACGGGCTTGAGCTCAGTCTTGGCGGTATACGATTGCTTTTGGAAGAAGCAAATGGAGCAGTTGGAGACGAACTTGACGGTCTGTTGGTACATGCCTCGCCAAAAATACTGGGGTTGCAGCATGGAGTAGGTCTTGCGTTCTCCAAGATGACCGAGTCCATGTGCAGCGGCAATGATCCCGGTGCGAGCCCTTGGTGGAGGGACGGGGAGTTTGGTTCCCTTGGCGTTGATTTTGTAAAGCGTTGTCCCCGAGAATTCGTAGATTTTGGTCCGCATTTTGACCCGCTTTTTCTCTTCCTTGGGCCAGTCGGGGTCAACCACGCCGGTTTTGAGAAACTGCATGCTGTGCTTATCCTTCCATATGTCGTTGAAACGACCCGCGTGCTCCTCTTCCGCCTCAGGTTCAATAGAAAGCTCCGCATCAGAATCGGGTTCAATGCGCTGCTCCTTGGGCGGATTGACGTCCTCGGCTTCCAATTGACGTTTTCCGCGGTCGGAGCTTGTGGTGGGTGGCTCCTCATGCTCGGCCTCAGAGACCGCTTGTCCCTCTTGGAAAATTTCCATGTCAGGATCGATGTCGGCATGATCCTCATCAGCAGTTGTCTTGGCTGCTTCCGCTTCGGTGACGGAGTCGGCGCTGGACTCAGAAGAGTCGGCTGCCTCTGCTTCAGTTGATCCTTCACTGTCTTCTCCCTCCTCAGGTTCGGGGGGTGAGACAGCTGCCAAGAAGGATGCTCTGACGGGCCATCCTCTTGTTGGGACATTCGCGGGCAAAATGTCCAGGCGCCTTACAAATATGGCAAGTGACCGGTCCAGTCTTCCTCTCATACGTCCTGGCTTCGGGCGGTCGACTGGGCTGGGTCATGAGATGAATACGCAGTCTTCCTCTCATACGTCCTAGAATCCGTTCTACATCCTTGTCTACGTAGACGACCTGGTCTTCGCTACTGCAGACAGAAACGCACTAGCCTCCGTGAAGGCCGAGCTGCTGAGGAGACACACCGACACTGACCTAGGAGAGCTGTGCCGCTACCTTGGCATGCAGATCTCCAGGGACAGAGCAACGCGCACCATCACTCTTTCACAGCCACACTTCGTGCGACAGGTCCTTCAGAGGTTCGGTCTTCAGTTCTCCTCCGCACATCCCACACATCTGCCAGTAGACCACAGGCTCTCAGCTCCAGTTCTAGAGGAGTCAGCAGAGCCCAGTGGTCCTTACGCAGAGCTGGTGGGTTGCCTCATGTACCTGATGACTTGCACTCGTCCTTATCTCGCATACTCTCTCAGCATTCTGGCTCACTTTGTTGCCACAGGCAGACACCGACCACAGCATTGGCCGGCTGCTAAGAGGGTTTTGCGTTATCTAGCGAGTACATCGGGCATGGGGCTAGTGCAAGGAGGGCGCAGGCCAATGGTCCTTATTGGGCACACAGACGCTTCTTGGGCAGATGACGCTGAGACCCTCAGGTCCTCCCAGGGCTATTGCTTTAGCCTCGGTTCGGGTGCCATCTCGTGGAGGTCCACTCGCTCCTCGTCTGTTGCCCAGTCTAGCTGCGAGGCTGAAATCTACGCCGGTGCCATGGCGGCACAGGAGCTCCGCTGGCTGACCTTCTTGCTTGCTGACTTAGGTGAGTGGCCTAGCTCTGCCCCGGTTCTATACACTGACAATAGGGCCATGATCCTCCTGTGTCAGGAGCCACGACTTGAGGGCAGAGCGAAGCACATCCAACTGTGGTACTTCCTCCTTCGTGAGCTACAGCAGCGTCACCAGGCCCGCGTAGTACACTTGGCCTCCGGTGTCAACACGGCTGATATCTTTACTAAGGCGCTTGCGCCTAAAGATCATCAGCGGCACTGTTTGCAGCTTGGTCTAGTTCTTGTAGACTCTCACTTGCTAGGACCTTGATTGTGTACTCCTCTATATATATTTATGCATTCCAGGCTGGCCTTGTGGCTTTTCTTCTAGTGGTCGGACTAGTAGTGCCGCCTTGGTTTGCTCTTTACTTGTTTGTTCTCTTGCTGACTGGTCTTCGGGCCCCTGTCTCAGAGGTTGGACTTGTAGTGCCACCCTGAGCTGCGTGTTTCTTGCTTTGCACTGCCCCTTATCTAGCCTAGGGGTGTGTCAACTCATACATAGTTATATGTAGAAGTCATAGGCTAGGTAGACTTGTGTTCTTAGAGAGTACAACTCCAACCCTTCATCTCCCCTGTTCTCTCTTGTTCTAGTCATTCCTGTATTCTGACAAAGAAATCCTTCAGGAAGTCTCCTCTTACTCCTTCCGCTCCCTCTGCTCCCACCAAGCCATCTACCCCCAAATTCCCCACCACCCCTACCGAGACGGGCGGACATACCTGCAAGACTCCTGCCACTCCTGCCACCCCCGCGAAGCCCGCCGTGAAGATTAGCTCAACGGACCAGTAGGTGATATCTTCGCTAGAAGCCGCCGCGGTTGACGTGGACAGCGCCAAGGCGGAGCTGAGCGTGAAGACGTACGTGAAGAGCTTGACGGACACGGCGGCGGCGCTGCGCAACGCGGCGACTCTGATCCGTTCGGGGCAGCACGCACTGGTGGCAGGGTAGATCGACAACGCCATCGCCACCATCAACGGCGTGTCCGTCATGCTCCCCGCTGCCGGCGCCGACCGCAAGCTGCCCGCCAAGGCCGCATGGAAGTCTTAGGGGGAGGTTTTTTTGGCTCTTTTGGCGCATGCCTCCAAGGTTGCGTGGAACGTTTAGACAGGGTGAGTGGTCAATATGTCTCACGGTTAGACGAACCGGTGCGCGAGATAGTATCTCTCACTCGATGCGGACACCTGGGCCGCCAAGGCGATAGGACACAAGGGCCGTGTGGACGGCAGAGGTAGTACCCGCGATCCCCCAACGTGAAAATGCACAGGTAATAGATACAAATAAGGCCGCTTAGACGGTTTAGCAGAATCGAGCGATTCCAAGGGAAATGGGTTGACATTATTAAAAATTAGGTATGATTTCAATCTGCAGCGTGATGCTTCCTCGGTATAACTGTTTCACATCGCAACGCCATGTGTTTAGTGCATTAAAGCGGAAGCAGGTCCCTTTTTATATTATTGGGGTTTATTGTTTATGTAAGTTTATCGAAGTGCACGTCACACCTCGGCACATGGCCTCGCCATTGCTGGTCTCCGCATCTTCACAGCCACAGTGGCGAGGAGCACAGAGACGATGCAGAAGCTGGTCAGAACGCCGTTCTTTATGGCCGTGGCAATGTATGGGCTCGAGAGGAAGTAGATGGAGCAGGCAGCGCTGCTCCATGAGATCCAATGCGCGTAGGCTGCATCCTGCAGGGTTCAGTAGTGGAGTGGGGGAGAAGGAGAGTGAGAGGACGCATGGACTGGGAGGGGCAGGGAAGTAGATGGAGCAGGCAGCGCTGCTCCATGAGACCCAATGCGCGTAGGCTGCATCCTGCACAGTTGCTAGCCCGGAAAACAGGAGGAAACAAAGAAGGGGGGGGGGGGGGGGGAGGGGGGATGAAAAGAAGTATCTGGGGCAAATAGAGCAGCACGGTGATATGCCATGGGCGCGCATGAGGGGAAAACAGAGCAGCTTACCACGCCTGAAGGGACGAACTATGACAGCTTACCACATCAGAAGGGAAGACCAATGGCAGCTTACCACATCAGAAGGGAAGACCAATGGCAGCTTACCACATCAGAAGGGAAAACCAATGGCAGCTTACCACATCAGAAGGGAAGACCAATGGCAGCTTACCACATCAGAAGGGAAGACCACTGGCAGCTTACCACGTCAGAAGGGAAGACCAATGGCAGCTTACCACATCAGAAGGGAAGACCAATGGCAGCTTACCACGTCAGAAGGGAAGACCAATGGCAGCTTACCACATCAGAAGGGAAGACCAATGGCAGCTTACCATATCAGAAGGGAAGACCAATGGCAGCTTACCACGTCAGAAGGGAAGACCAATGGCAGCTTACCACATCAGAAGGGAAGACCAATGGCAGCTTACCACATCAGAAGGGAAGACCAATGGCAGCTTACCACATCAGAAGGGAAGACCAATGGCAGCTCATCACATCAGAAGGGAAGACCAATGGCAGCTTACCACATCAGAAGGGAAGACCAATGGCAGCTTACCACGTCAGAAGGGAAGACCAATGGCAGCTTACCACATCAGAAGGCAAGACCAATGGCAGCTTACCACATCAGAAGGGAAGACCAATGGCAGCTTACCACATCAGAAGGGAAGACCAATGGCAGCTTTCCACATCAGAAGGGAAGACCAATGGCAGCTTACCACGTCAGAAGGGAAGACCAATGGCAGCTTACCACATCAGAAGGGAAGACCAATGGCAGCTTACCACATCAGAAGGGAAGACCAATGGCAGCTTACCACATCAGAAGGGAAGACCAATGGCAGCTTACCACGTCAGAAGGGAAGACGAATGGCAGCTTACCACATCAGAAGGGAAGACCAATGGCAGCTTACCACATCAGAAGGGAAGACCAATGGCAGCTTACCACATCAGAAGGGAAGACCAATGGTAGCTTACCACGTCAGAAGGGAAGACCAATGGCAGGAGAGCGGTGATCTGAGATTGGAATGCTGTGGCACCTATGCCCCACAGCAGCGCACAGCCGAACACAAGGGCGAAGGCTGCTGGCGTGGGGAGTGATCTGGAGGGATGGGAGGGGGGAGGAGAGGCGACAAGATCAGCGGTGATGGAGGGCTTACAGGGGGGACAGATTGGAACGATGTGGCTCCATGCCCCACAGCAGCGCACAGCCGAACTCAAGGTCGAAGGCTGGTGGCGTGGGCAGCGATCTGGAGGGTATAAGGGACCAACAGGACGACAGAAAACGGGTGAGGATTGGAATGCGGTGGCGCCTATTCCCCACAGGAGGGTATGGCCAAATGCGAGGGCGAAGCTGCTGGTGTGGGCAGCGATCTGGAGGGACGAGGGAGGAGGGGTGAAGAGAAGAGAATTGAGTTTCAACAAGCCCCTCTTGGCGCCAAGCAGCACTGCGAGAATTGGGAGCCACTGAATTGCTCAGATGGGAGGGGATGGCTCAGATGGGAGGGGATCTCTCCCACCTGGTGCAGAAGTTAACCTACCCGTACAGCTACGTGCATATAAGTCCTATCACCCCCTCACCTGCAGTCATACGCCCACATGAGCACGAGAACGGCGGTCTGCGAGGCAGCACCCAGTGGCTGTAGCACGAGTACTTAGGGCACTTAGCCGCATGCCCATGTACGACAAAGGCCCTTTTACCCACCTGTGTAGCCATATGCGCCCATAAGTCCTATCATCCCCTCACCTGCCGTCATACGCCCATGTGAGCACGAGAACGGCAGTCCGTGAGGCTGAACCCAACGGCTGTAACACGAGCACCTAAGGCACTTTCCTGCATGCCCATGCACTACAAAGACCCTGTTATCAAGTGTAATGAGTCTGTTTTTGAGTTGACTCAAAAACAGACTCATGTAACAAGAGCACCAAAGGCACTTACCAGCATGCCCATGTAGGACAATGGCCCTGTTACCCACCTGTATAGCCATATGCGCCCATAAGTCCTTTCACCCACTCACCTGCCGTCATACGCCCATGTGAGCACGAGAACGGCGGTCTGCGAGCCAGCACCCAGCAGCAGCATGAGGAGCACTGATGAGAGGCCGGAGGCGAAACGAGCCGAGAGGAAGCAGCACTGGCGTTTGGGGGGGCGGAAATGGGGAGAGACGGGGGGAGGCGGGGGATAGGGAGCGTGGAAGGGAAAGGATGTGAGCACGCAGCACCAGCAGCATGAGAAGCACTGATGCGAGGCCAGAGGCGAAACGAGCCGAAAGAAAGCAGAAAAGGATCTATATTTGACTAGGGCCTCCGCAAAAAAGGATTTATATTTTAAAGGCGCCGCAAGAGGGCGCGGAAGAGGGAGAGGAAAGAGGAAAAAGAAGCACAATTCGGAGTATCAAGAATGAAAGCTAAATCTTGAGAGAATGTTTTTCTTTCTTCTTTTTTCTCCGCTTAGGAGACACTGCCGTTGCACCGCTTGTAGAAAAGGCTATCGAGACTCACAACGGCAATGGCGACGCCAAATGCCATCATGGCGCCTCCCATCCACTGCGCTCCCAGCAGCGGTTGCACCACGAAGCGAGTGAAGTCCGCACTGGGAGGGGTGGGATGGGATGGGATGGGTACGGGATGATAAGCTGCTTCATACCTGATATAAGCTGTTTTTGGTCCGGAATGCCTGATTATATGCTTCATACCTGATATAAGCTGCCTGCAGTCCAGAGTAAAAGAGCAGCGGAATCAGCAGCAATCAAACGCTTTCAATCAAACAGCAAGTGCCATGCGTTCCTCCCCGCCTCCCGCCCCTTCCTCCATTGCCCGCTTGCCTAGGGGGTTAAAACATGCCTGATATGAATAAGCTGCTTCATACCTGATATAAGCTGCCTGCAGTCCAGAGTAAAAGAGCAGCGGAATCAGGAGCAACAACTTCCGCTCAAACAGCAGCTGCCACGCGTTCCTCCTCGCCTCCTCCTTCATCCCCATCATTCCTTTGGCGCATCAAGCATAACTGTTATAAGCTGATTCATACCTGATATAAGCTACCTGCAGTCCAGATTACAAGAGCAGCGGAATCAGCAGTAATAGCTTCCGGTCGTGCGGCAGCTGCCACGCGTTCCTCCCCGCCTCCTCCTTCATTGCCCCTTTGACTAGGGGGGTAGGACAAACCTGATATAAGCTGCCTCATACCTGATATAAGCTGCCTGCAGTCCAGAGTAAAAGAGCAGCGGAATCAGCAGCAGCAGCTTTCGATCAAACAGCAGCTGCCACGCATTCCTCCCCGCCTCCTCCTTCATCCCGCTGCCCACTGTCACAGTCAGCCGCGCCGAGCTCACAGACCGAGACAAGCTACGCCGACCGGAGGCCGCAGAAACGGACAAGGCATGCCGCCGTGAGAGGGTCAGCGCAGAGGAGCGGGACATTGTCCGGGAGAGGTATGGGACATGGACCGAGGCTACGGTTCGGCCGGACCTAGAGCTGATCATCAGGCTCGAGGTTGATCGAGCTAGGCTCGGCGAGCCAGAAGTCAGGTTTGGCCCGGACCTGGGTGTTTGCCCAGGGATGGTGGCTCGTCGGGGGGGACAGGTTCGGGAGGAGGAGCAGGAGGGCCAAGAGGTGAAGGAATGGGAGGAGCAGAGGGAGTGGGAGATGGGGTGAGAGGAGAGAGTAGAGGGGGGATAGGGGTGGAGTGGGAGGGAGGGAAGATGCGAGAGGAAGGGTTTGGGAGGTGAGAGGAGGAGTGTGACGGTTGGAAGGTACGGTTTGAGTTTGAAGGTGTGCCGGAAGATAAAACGCGTTCTGCAGCAGATGAAACGCGGTTTGAAGCAGATGAAACGCCAATGGGATTTCTAGGTGTCTCTATTTCTGGTATACTCACAACGCCCCTCTCCCCCTGCCCTTTCCCCCCCCTAGATCCTCCCCCCCTGCTCCTCCCTCCCCTGCTCCTCCCCCCCTCCTGTTTCTCTTGCACATCCGAGAGCATAGTCCCTATGAATCGGTGCACATTCTTCCTCTCCCTCCCTCTCCCCTCCCTCTCCTCCTCCTCCTCCTCCTCCTCCTCCTCCTCCTCCTCCTCCTCCTCCTCCTCCTCCTCCTCCTCCTCCTCCTCCTCCTCCTCCTCCTCCTCCTCCTCTCCCTCCTCTCCCTCCTCTCCCTCCTCGCCCTCCTCCTCTGCCCCCTCTCTCTCCTCTCCCTCCTCCTCTCCCTCCTCCCCAACCTCTTCCGCCACCTCCTCTTCCCAATCAACGGTGAAGATTGAAAGTGCTCTGCTGGATGAAATCGACGGACAGGGCGCCAACGTGGCAACGGTGCGTTTGATCGCCACGGCAGGGTCGTCCACGTGGCAGTCCTCCATTGGCTGGAGATCCCGGAGCAGCCACGAGAGCAGGGAGCCTATAGCGAGGCAGATGCAGAGGACTATAATGAGTATGGTGACCGTGGTGGGAGGAAGGGAGGAGGAAGAGGAGGAGGAAGAGGAGGAGGAGGAAGAAGAGGAGAGTAGGGAGACTGTGAAAGTGATCGCGTTGCCTATGATTTGATTTACGGCGAATATTCCGCCGAAAAGGGAGCTAAATTCTGTAACGACAAGGTCCATTGGCTTGTTGTGTGTTTTACTGAAGACTCCCGCTGCAGCAACAAGGTACACTCCCTGCACAATGGCATGCGTGGGAAACATGTGGGAAACATGTGGGAAACATGTGGGAAACATGTGGGAAACATGTGGGAAACACATGTTCAGTGATAAAACAGAACACAATGCAGCTGGGTGAGTGAGGGTGGAAAGGGGGGAGGAGGGAAAGGGGGAAGTGGGGGAGGTGGAGGGGGTGTGTGGGGGGAGGATGTGGGGACAGAGTAGAGAGATTGAGGCATGACGACTACGTTTTTAAGAGGTGAAAGTGCATTATACAAGCGCCGAGGCATGACGACATGGGTGAGCGGGTGATAACCGCATCTAAATCACTTGGAAGCATTTCGGACTGTGGAGATGGTTAGTTAACTGAGCAAAGAAAACCAGACGACGGACCAGAGCAGACTCCCAGGTAGGACGAGGCAAGACAACATGATGGGTGCGAGCGAGAAAACCATATTAGACAACGTCAGACACGTGTCATCAAGACAACTGGGCGAAGCTCTAGAAGGCAGAGAAGTGATGCAGGTTGTGTGGATCGAGGCAGTTACCTGAGCCACCCACACGACCGACCAGCAGACCCCAAGGTAAGACGAGGCGAGCAGCAGGAGCCACCTGCAGATAAAGAGGTGTGGTGGGGTGTGGTGGGGTGTGGTGCGGAGTGATGAGTTGTGGGGTATGCCGAGTTAAACGAGTCGTAAGGGAGGAAAGGACTACCCCACAACTCCCCACGAGGAAAGAAGAAGCATTCCCACAAAGAGTAGGATCCGCGCAGCCTGCAACCCCAGGGTCTCGTTATGTAAAACGAGACCCGTCTAAGGTCTGCGATTTTGAGCAGTCTACACCCGCCAGTCCATCACAAAAATGTGGATCTCTCCTATATTAAGGTATAGTTGTTCGTATAGCAAGGCTACTCCGTAGCAGACGTACCTATGCCATACCTACTGTATACCTACTCCGTATTTCTGATACTGGAATTTTGAGATGTCAGCAGTTGTACCACGCACTTTATAGTGAACGCGTTGGACCCGATAAAAGCCCAGAACCCTGTCTGCGACACGAGAATCGCGGCGCGCGCGCGCCAGAATCGAATCGGGAACGGCGCGAGCGGAGCAGAAACCACGATCACGGCATACAGGACCCCCATGGACAATGCTCCCAGGTTGTTTTCTCCGTGGATGCTCGTCGCGACGTTCTGCAGCGCGTTGAACGCCACGAAGAAGAAGAGGAACGCCGTGCTCATCAGCAGCAGGTCGCGCCGCCACCACACCCACAGCCACGCCGCTGACTCCCACACTCCTCCTCCCCCGCCTCCTCTGCCGCCTCCGCCGCCTCCGCCGCCGCCGCCGCCGCCGCCCTTTCTCCCGAGGCTGTTGCGGGGTGATGAAGATGTGGAGATTAGTAGTCTCGGTAGTACCGCGGCGGTTCCAGCTCCCGCGTCGGCTGCTGGGCCCGTCGCTTCCGTCGCTTCCGTCGCATCATTGCTGTCGGCGATTTTGAGTCGTCGCCACCCGGCGAAGCTCCAGCTGCCGTTTCGGCCGGAGTCGAACCACCTCCTTTTGCCTTCTGCTGCTTCTGCTGCTTCCTTCGAATTGACAGAACCGTACGGCTCGGATTGTTTGTCGTCGGCGACGCCGAGCCGACCATTTCCCTCGTCAACATAATCCTGCTCGATCGTCATTCTCGTGATACCGCTCTCCGAGAAACGGCGGAGCCCGCCGCTCAAGGTGATACCGTGACGCCGTGGCGAATTTCACGGGCGTGACACCGTGATGCAGTTACTAGTACTGACCGTGACTGCGTCACTGATAGCCAACTAATGCTCACCGTGATGGAGCTACTACCAATGCTCACTGCGTCACGTTCTTCTGCCGCGTGGCATCTTGTAATTGCGATGTCGTTGAGTAGATGAACGAGTGAAGCCTGATAAAAAATATTGCCCAGTCGCAAAAGGTTACAACAACTGTTCTCGATGGGGAAAGCTTGGATTCGTATTTCTAGCAGCTCGCCAACTCATTCGGCGTTTTGAGCCCTGTTCGACCAAGTTTATGTCAGATAGAATCTACCATGCTACGGACCCACAGGCATCACCTCATCAAGGAATGGACGAAGAGACACGACGATTGAGTGTGTGCGGCTGGCGGTTCGTGACAACGCGGGAAAGAGGTGAGGATTCGCGCTAAGGGGGTCAGCTGAATGAATTGTTACGGAAGATTGGCCAGAGTGCAGCGTCGCAATAGGGCGGGGAGATAACGCGGGGTGATGTAGTGGTTGACAGGCACGGAACGACATGTGTTGCCCACCAGGGTGAGGAGGAACAGAACAGAGGCTTGTGTAGGGGACAAGCGACAGTTGGAATGCGATGCATGCAATGCAAGGCATCTTGCCTCTGCTATAGGCAATGCCAACGAAAAATTCACCAGAAGCGCTTCGGGGAAAATTGAGCTGAACAGCGCCCCGGATTTCTGTACATGGAAAATTGAGCTGAACCGCTGGGAACCTTCTCCAGAAATACCAAAGCTGTCCTGTAAACATATCTCAAAGTGTAGCCTACGGGACTGTTTCACGCGATTTGAAAAACCCTTACCGGGAAGTTATTTTTTCTTTCTCTTCTTTATATTGGTTGCGATTAGGAACCAGTACTGGAAAATCCTGGGTGGGAGTCCAAGGACAGTTTTGTTCTTACCCTGAAAAGAACATGACTCTTATAAACAAATCCTTCTTCTCGTCCACTGACAGCTGTGCTTCCACCCGAAGCGTTTGCCTTGCGCGCTTATCAGCGGAATTTCTGGCAGTGCCGCATTCGGGGTTGATGAATCGATGATCGAGTACGAAACGTTGCAACCATTATTGAAAATAAAAACAATGTAGCATCGCTAATAACGGTTGCAATAGTATGATCGTTAGTATGTGGAACCTATTTCATGAGGAATTCTATGATGATGGAAATAATGTATCTTAAGAGTGAATGCATTAGCTTACGAGCTGAATTATAAAATGAAAATGAAGATATTCGATAGAGGAACAGATATGATGAATCGATTAGTTAGAGGAGGAAATAAGGTAAAAGCCACAAACTTTAGAAGCTAGTTATGGTGGATATCGAGACGAAATTGAGGACAGAATTGACGAGACCAGAGAAACACCACCATGACGGGGAGTGAGCAGGAGCACGCATCAAGGGACTGACTGGTGGAGCCTCCGTAGTGGCAGCAAAGGGCATGGGGCGGCCATGGAAGCAGCACGCGCGCTGACATGCGTGGCTTTTCCCTCTCGTCTAGACATTTCCCGCCTCGAAGATCGACGTATCATTCCATGTGCGCCCGCTATTCGATCGTCGCCTGTCATGATCTCTCCGCTCTTTTCGCCGTGTCGTCCGTTCACGACTGCAATTGCAGGCAATCGATCGCGTCTCGTTACTGGTAGCCTCGTTGCGGGAATTAGCGCATGCGATATTGTAACTAGGCCTTCTACCGCCAGATTTTCTGTCGCTGGAGGGGGATACAGCTCGGGATGTCGGCGAATTGTGATTGGTCGGAATAGGATATCACCACGGGCGGATATCGAGGCGGAAACGGTCGAATCGGCATTCCCAGGGGCAGGGCTGGTCCAATTGGCGCTACTCGTGGCGCGGACGCCCGCGCGGAAGGCGGAGGCAGCATTGGGAAAGGACCAGGGAAACATGATTCTGGTAAAGCCGCGGAGGCGCAAGATGAGGCGCGCGGGAAGAGATCAGCGGAAGCGGAGGGACGGGGATCTCCGAACAGGCTAAAGAGCGGAGCGGAGGGGGATCTGTCGGGGCTGCTTATACCGGGGCTGGTTCAAACGGGGACGTGGAGCGGCTGATCTGGGATGTGAGCGGGCGCGATCTGGTGCAGGTAGCGCTGGAAGGCAGCAGCGCGAAAGACGGCCCGCGATTCCTGGCGCCGTGCGGCGTGAGGAGAGAGCTGCCCTGCTGGTCTATCTCCCTGGGCTGGATGGCACGGTAAGGGGAGATGGCATGGTAAGGGGAGATGGCATGGTAAGGGGAGATGGCATGGTAAGGTGAGATGGCATGGTAAGGGGAGATGGCATGGTAAGGGGAGATGGCACGGTAAGGGGGCATGGTAAGGGGGAGATGGCTTGGTTGGCGGTTTAGGGTTTGAACAGCGTGAGGAGAGAGCTGCCCCTGCTGGTGTACATCCCTGGTTTGGATTGGATGGCACCAACCCACTGACCGTGCCATCCTTGGATAACCTGCAAGGACTAGGTTATCATGGGTTAATGCGGGCTTCGGGTTTACCATGGCGTGAGGAGAGACCTGCTCCTGCTGGTGGTGCACATCAATGGCCTTGACGGCACGGTCACTGGGCTCGAGGGTTTACGCCAGGGTTCTAGTGAAGGTTTACGCCAGGGTTCTAGCGAGGGTTTACGCCAGGGTTCTAGTGAGGGTTTACGCCAGGGTTCTAGCGAGGGTTTACGCCAGGGTTCTAGTGAGGGTTTACGCCAGGGTTCTAGCGAGGGTTCGGATTTAGATGGGAGGATATGGGGACAAGCTCTTGTTATTGCTGGCATCAACGAGGCGGGACTCAGGGTTTTGCTTCGTGATGCTCTGGATTGGTGGATGGGTTTCATTTCATCATTTCATCATTTCATTCATGGCAAGGAAAGAACGAGGCCCGGGAGCAGTAGGGAGACACGTGGCTGCAAAGAGGGCTGTTTGATTGGTGCTTCCCACCTCATTTCCGGTCTCTCTATCGCCTTGATCTCGCTTCCTTCCCTCTGTCCCGCTTCCACCACCCACCCTTGCTTTTGCTTCGCCTTGCTTTCGCCTTGCTTTCGCCTTGCTTTCGCCTTGCTTTCGCCTCATCTCACACCTTTCTCCCCTACCCATCCTTCATGTAGGACTTGATCCTGGAGCACTAGCTAACCCACCATTTCCTGCCCTCTGTTCTGTTTTCATCCTTTTTCTTCCGCCTCTATGCCAGGGCATATTCCTGGAGCCTCATCTGGTGGCTTTAAAGCCTTGCTACGACATCCGCTGCCTCTGCATCCCGCCTCTGACACGCCCTCCTACGACCAGCTCGCTCAGCTGTACGTGATGGACGAGGCCCAGCCTGTCTCCACCCTGTGCTTTGTGTTTGCGAATTCTAAAAAGCCACAACCCAGCCTGTCTCCACCCTGTGCTTTGTGTTTGAGAATTCTAAAAGCCACAACCCAGCCTGTCTCCACCCTGTGCTTTGTGTTTACGAATTCTAAAAGCCACAACCCAGCCTGTCTCCACCCTGTGCTTTGTGTTTACGAATTCTAAAAGCCACAACCCAGCCTGTCTCCACCCTGTGCTTTGTGTTTACGAATTCTAAAAGCCACACCCAGCCTGTCTCCACCCTGTGCTTTGTGTTTGCAAATTCTAAAGCCACACCCACCCTGTCTCCACTCTGTGCTTTGATTGCGGCTGGCATAGTGCCGCCCAGCTGTACATGTATGTACGTTTTCTTCCGTCCTCCCTTCCCTACCTCCTCCCACCTTCTCCTCGCCCCTCCCTTCGCTGTTCCCCTCCTCTTCCTTTTCCCCTCCCTTCCTTTCCTTCCTTCCCTTCCTCCTCCCTTTTCCCCCCCTCCCTCTTCCTTTTCCCCCTCCTCTTCCTTTCCCCTCCTCTTCCTTTTCCCCCCCCTCTTCCTTTTCCCCCTCCTCTTCCTTTTCCCCCCTCCTCTTCCTTTTCCCCCTCCTCTTCTCTTTTCCCCTCCTCTTCCTTTTCCCCCTCCTCTTCCTTTTCCCCCCTCCTCTTCCTTTTCCCCCCTCCTCTCCCCTCCTCTTCCTTTCCCCTCCTCTTCCTTTTCCCCTCCTCTTCCTTTTCCCCCTCCTCTTCCTTTTCCCCCTCCTCTTCCTTTCCCCTCCTCTTCCTTTTCCCCCTCCTTCCTTTCCTCCTCTTCCCCTCCTCTTCCTTTTCCCCTCCTCTTCCTTTTCCCCCTCCTCTTCCTTTTCCCCCTCCTCTTCCTTTTCCCCCTCCTCTTCCCTCTTTCCTTTCCCCTCCTCTTCCTTTTCCCCCTCCTCTTCCTTTTCCCCCTCCTCTTCCTTTTCCCCCTCCTCTTCCTTTTCCCCCCTCCTCTTCCTTTTCCCCCTCCTCTTCCTTTTCCCCCTCCTCTTCCTTTTCCCCTCCTCTTCCTTTTCCCCTCCTCTTCCTTTTCCCCCTCCTTCCTTTCCCCCCCTCCTTCCTTTTCCCCCTCCTCTTCCTTTTCCCCCTCCTCTTCCTTTTCCCCCTCCCTTCCTTTCCCCCTCCCTTCCTTTTCCCCCTCCTCCTCTTCCTTTTCCCCCTCCTCTTCCTTTTCCCCCTTCCTCTTCTTTCCCCCTCCTCTTCCTTTTCCCCCTCCTCTTCCTTTTCCCCCTCCTCTTCCTTTTCCGCCTCCTCTTCCTTTTCCCCCTCCTCTTCCTTTTCCCCCTCCTCTTCCTTTTCCCCCTCCTCTTCCTTTCCCCTTCCTCTTCCTTTTCCCCCTCCTCCTTCCTTTTCCCCCTCCTCTTCCTTTTCCCCCTCCTCTTCCTTTTCCCCCTCCTCTTCCTTTTCCCCCCTCCTTTTCCTTTTCCACGTCCTCTCTTTCTGTCTCTATCGCTCATTTTGCGCCCCCTCTCGACCCCGCATCCGCATGTGTCTCTTGTGAGGGTCGCCGCAACCGCATCGGTCCCACCAAGCTCACCCTCGCCCGCCCCTCTCCATCCCACCCCCTACTCACCGGCTTTGTTCCATCCGCATGGCACTGGCAGGGCGGCTGGGCTCGTCTCTCGTGGGTCTCTTGTGAGGTCGCTGCACCTCATCTCTCGCACCAAGCTCACCCTCGCCTTCCCCCCACCCCCCCTCCCCACCCCCGTCCTTCCACCCGCATGGCACTGCAGGGCGGCTGGCCTCATCTCTTACGAGTGTGCCATGAGAAGCGACATCTCCTTACCCTCTGGGGCTGCACCCGGGACTGCTGGAGCAGCGAGATACGTGTCTGATGATGAGTGGCCGCCAGCAGACGCACCCTCACCCTCCAGGCCCCAAACCCCCATCCCCCAACCCTTCCACCCACATTTCACTGCAGGGCGGCTGGCGTCGTCTCTCACGAGTGTGCTGTCAGAAGCGAGAGCTCCTTTACTGTCTGGAGCTGCACCAGTGACTGCTGGAGCAGCGAGACACGCGTCGGATGATGAGTGGCCTGCAGCAGGGGCACCCTCCCCGGCAGCACCAGCAGCAGCGACAGCACCCGCACCCGCAGCGGCAGCAGCAGTTAGCAGCGCCTGTGGTGACAGTGGTGGCAGAATCATTTGGCGCAGGGGTGGCTCTCAGCCTCGCTGCTAAGCACCCGCACCTGGTCTCCCACCTCGTCATCTGCAACAGGTGTGTGCGTGTATGGGGTGTACGGTGTACGTGTGCATGCGAGTGCACACGCGTTGAAGTGTGGGTGCGCGTGTGTGTGAACACATGTACTGCTCCCCAACGTGCCGTGTACGGTATCCCCATGTTCCCATTCCAAGGTATCCCCATGTTCCCATTCCAAGGTATCCCCATGTTCCCATTCCAAGGTATCCCCATGTTCCCATTCCAAGGTATCCCCATGTTCCCATTCCAAGGTATCCCCATGTTCCCATTCCAAGGTATCCCCATGTTCCCATTCCAAGGTATCCCCATGTTCCCATTCCAAGGTATCCCCATGTTCCCATTCCAAGATATCCCCATGCCCCATGACCGATTTCAATCCTTCTCTCTGCCACTGTGAGATGCCAAAGCCATCTCACTCATCCCTTCCACCCCTCTCATCCCTTCCATCTCACTCATCCCTTTCCACCCTTCTCATCCCTTCCATCTCACTCATCCCTTCCACCCCTCTTCATCCTCCCACCGGTCCCCATTTACCCCACTGCATCTCAGCCATTTACTCACAATATCTCGTGCCATGTCAGTTTCCCAAACCCCCTACCGTCCCAACCCCTACCATCCCTACCCCTACCATGGCTACTATCCCACCCCCCTACCGTCCCTAACCATCCCCACCCTCTTACCATCTCACAGTGGCAGCGGCTTTCGCCGCCAGCCAGCACTTCAACTGGGGGCGTTGCTGGTGAGACTTCTCCTCCAATAGTCCCCCACACCCTCCCCTTCCTCTGGTAGCTGCCGCGTACTTCCCCTTCCCCCCACTTCCGGATATCTTGTCAGTCCTGCGTGTTTCCATGTAAGGGGGGGGCTAAGCAAAACAAGGAAAGCATGGTATATTAGTAGATAACTGCCGTGAGTTAAGTCCCGTCTTCTTTGTTTACTGTCTCCCCCTTTCCTGTCCCTCTCTTTCTCCCAACCCTCCCCACCTCTCCCATTGCATTCCCCTATTCCCCTATCCCGTGCCCAGGCGCCCTTTGCGCCCGACATTCCCTTTCTCGCCAGCTCTCCTCCTTCGCCCTCGCGCCGCTGCTCTCTGACTGGGACAGCCTGGGGGAGAGGGAGAGGAGCTTCATCACTCCGCCCTTCAGGTGACTGAAGGCTTTCAGGTGCTTCCGTTCCTTGCTTCTCTCGTGTTCCCTCGCTCCTGTCCTCGCGGAGTGGGACAGTCTAGGGGCGAGAGAGAGGGGTACCACTTGAGAGTAGTTTCGTCACTCCGCCCTAAACCCGAAACCCTGAGGACACACTAGGAGAGAGAGTCCCTGCTGCAGCATAGTGGAAAGTTGAATACCCACGTGGAATCCTAAGTCTTGCAAGCAAGCCATGATACTCAACCCCTGACACCATTTTTTGTTCCTTCCAACCCCTTTGGATTCATCACTCCCTCATTTTCCTCCACCCGCTTTTTCCCATTCACCCCTTCCCTCCTGCAGCACCAAAAGTGCTTTCCCCAGCTACAGTGTCGCGTCGCGTTGCCATGATGGCGGCGCTACAGCCATCCGACGCCCTGCTACAGTCCATCACAGCCAGTACTCTGCTCATTGCCAGGTGAGGGCACTATGTCTGTAGCAGCAATTTCTAAGATGGGTGCAATACAGCCATCTGATGCCATGCTACACTCCATCACAGCCAACACACTGGTGATTGCAAGTTGGGTGTGCTACAGCTGTCACGGCAAAAAACATACACAACACACCTCAACAAAACACCAGATCATTAGACATGAGCAATGAGGCGAGGATTTCCTCGCCTCGAAAATCCTCGCCTCGAATTCCGGGGGTCGAGGCCGGATTTCAGGAAATAATCCTCGCGAGGATTCCTCGCCCCGCCTCGGCGAGGATTCGAGGCCTCGACATTTCCTCGAGAGATGATCTGAGATCATACAACACAACACAGCTCAACACAACACGACATAGCTCAATACAACAAGATACAGCTCAATAAAACAAGACACAACACAATGCAATACGTCTCAGCAATCTGTTGAGGCTCGTTGCAACATGCATTGCCATCCACGACGGCCTTGCTACAACCGTTCAAACGCCATGCCACAGCCAAGCACAGCTAGCAACGGGGCGTCGATGTGGAATCCAAAGAATGTGTCAGAACCGTGGTTACGGAGGTTAACAACAATTTATACCTATCATCCACTATTCTGTAAACCTGTCTATAACACTATGATAATGTTTCCACGGACTGATTATGACGCCGCGTGATAGCATGGAGAAACTTGGAGAAGTGGAAGGAGGTTATTTAGTGAAACTATGTACGCTGGAGGCTCCAATGGTTATTTGTTTAACCCATTAAGACATTGTAACAATTGAATATATATTTGCGTTTAAAAAAAAAAAAAAAAAAAAAAAAATCTGCAGGATTCAATGCTTGTTGTTTAGCAAGCGTTTGTACTGCTACAGACATGCATGAGGAAGGTGCTGCCGAGACTAGGTCCGCTGCGTGCGTTTCCTGCTCTTGTGACTTCTTTGCTTTTCGACGGTACTCCGGGGGTTGGTCGTCGTGATCCAGCATTCCCTAGGGTATGCATTCGATCGCTGCTGCTATCAAACATATTTTCTCCATGTCGAATTGATCTTCGCCACATTTCCGTTTGTATGATAGACCCCAAGTTTTAAGAACCGCATTAGATACTCTGCGACAGAAGTTGGGTTCATGTTCGACGAAAATATTTGGAATCTTTTCTCCTTCTGTGAAATGTGGAGCTGTACTTCAGCGATTATGGACCCATCCCTCTGTCTCAGAGTATTCAATGCGTTTCTTTGAACTTGAGGCCTGTCAATATGGCAGTGTAGTGAAGTTCAGTTGTGCATGAAGAAAATATGAATGACAGCAGCAGAGGTCGAATGCACATTTGGGGAATGCTAGATCACGGCGATCAACACCCGGGTACCGTGGAGATGCACGGAATTCACAGAGGTAGAGGACGCAACAGGTTTAGTCCGGGCAACATCTTTTTCGTGCATGTATATTGGCAGTACAAACGCCGGCCAAACTATAAGTTTTGAATCTTGCGCATGGAACTTCAGTGGATACAGATATATATTCATCGTTAAAATGGCTGAATGTGGTATACAACTGTTGGAGTCTCCAGCATACATAGTTTCATCAAATAAGCTCCTTCCCAACTCTTCCCCAGATTTTTCCACGCTATCACGTGGCATTATATAACCAGTTGTGGAAACATTATCATAGTGTCGTTTACGAAATTGTGGATGATAGATTGTTATGCTAACCTCTGTGACCACTAGTTCCAACACATTCTTTTCTTGAAGCTTGGATTCCACTTCAGCAACGCGCTGTTCACACACACACTTACATTCTCAGAAAACGAGGGTTCAGTCATCTGCTTATCAGACGCAGAGAACTTGTGGACCGATTATGTGATGGCCACCCAACCATTATTGGTTCTTCCAATAATGCTCGGCTTGGTCAAATGGCGGTCCTCCAACTAGTTTGCCTCTCATCGCATTCCTACTTTCAAAAGCTTTTAACAGTGTTGGGCTTGGTCAAATGTAGCTCCAACTAGGTTGTACTCACTTGAGCTAGTCAACCTTACATTTTCTATCAACATGCATACAATGAGTTGCACACACACACATGTTCCATCGGTTGTTTGACTTGACCCATTGACCAATTGTCCCATTGCCCCATTGCCTTGCCCCATTACCCCATTACCCGCAGTGGGGAGGACCGTCTGATGCCATCAGTGGAGGAGGCGTACGGTTTGGCGACATGCATCCCATCGTGCCGCATCAAGATTCTGCCCTTCTCCGGCCACACCCCCTTGCTCGAGGTGCGATCCATTTCTAAGGAGCCTCAAATGTGGTCTCTCCTCCTCATCCTTCTGCATCGAGATCCCGCCCTTCTTTGGGCACGCTGCTTGGCGCGAGGTGATTTTTCCAGCATCAGATTCTGCCGCTTGTCTCCAACCACTTTCGAGTCGACTCAAAAGTCGCCTCGTTTCGAGCCGAGTCAAAAGGCACCTCGATTTTCCCAGCATCAGATTGTGCCGCTTGTCTCGAACTCAAACCACTTTCCCTCCCTGTTTTGCCAGCCCTGCTGGTTCTACTCTCTCTCGTCCTCCTCACCTCTGCTAGCCACGTAGCCTGTTGTGGCTCGCGCATTCCCCCTTCCTCAAACACCCGTCCCCTTAGCTCTCTCCGTTCTATCCACCCCAAGACATTCTGGACGACCTCCATACGCGAGTGCCCCACTCTTGTTCCATTTCTCCCCCACTCTTGCTCCGTCCATCCCCTTTCTAACTTCCTCATCATGCCGTCCCTCAGCTTCTAACGTGCCCCATATCTGTGCTTGCTTCCTCCACCCCTTCACCCCCTTCCCCCTCCCTTCACCCCCCTTTACCAGTCCGGCGTTTGTCTCCGGAACGTTCTAGAGGAATGTGGCATTCTGCTGCCATCAGCTGCCTTCCCTCAAGACCCCGTTGCTGCTTCCGATGACGAAGAAGCGGAGCCTGCTTATAGCGAGGATGGAAAGGCAGGAGGGAAGCAGCGCGGCAGCAACGAGGCCAGCAGGATCGATTCTGCGTCTGCAGTGGAAGCCGCGACCGAGGCTACCACGGAGCGCACGGGTACGACGGAGGCTGGCACTAGCACGGTTGCTTATTCCAGAAATCGAACTGAGACTACCACGGAGGGTATTAGCAGCAGCACAGCTGGCAGTGCAGCAGAAGATACAGGTGGTGCGAGCAGTGGATTAGGTCGAGGCTCAGGTGAAAGTTCAGGTGGAACTTCAGGGAGCGGAGTGGAGGCTGAAGGGTACGGTAGTGATCCAGGCGAGTTCAGCATGGAAGGGAAGGACTGGGACGATGCTGACGTGGACACTGTGCTTGGTATAAGCAAAGATGTCAACACGGGTATGGGGCTTGGTGCGGTACCTGATAGCTCTGCCTCTGCTGTGCCATTGCATGCTGCAGCTGCCTGTGCCTCTGCATCTGCTGCAGAGGCAGCGGCAGCAGCAGTGGCAACGGTAGCAGGAGTGGCAACAACAGCAGTGACAGCAGTTGCGACAGCGACAGAAGCAATAGCAGTTGCAGCAGAGCCGGGGGGAGTGTTGCCAAGTCTGGAAGAGGGGGGAGTTCGGACAGAGGGCGAGGGGGAGGGAGATGTGTGGGTGGAAGTTTCTCGGAAGCAGGAGGAGGCTCGGGGAGAGGTGGTGCTTCGGGAATGGTCGCAGGTTCGGGCGGCTCAGGCTCGGAAGGAGAGGGGGGTAGTGGTAGGGGGAGGGGGAGGGTAAGGGTAGAGGGAGAACGGAGATTGGGGGAAGAGAGGGAGGAATGGTGAGCAGCTGGCAGGAATGGAACAAGAAGAGGGGGGAGCCGGGGAGAGGGGGAAGGGATATGCGGGACGATGGCCGGAGTATGAGCTCCGGAGAAGATCAAGGGGAGAAACGTGAGGGAGAAAACAGCGTAGGACAGCACGAGAGGGCTCTCAAACCAAGGCAGAAGGCAGGGTAGTATCGAAAGGTCAACAGGACGACATACAGGACGAAAATCCATGGTTGCAAGATAAGAAGCTGAAACAAGGCTTGAGACAGAGCTCTGAGGCACCGGAAAGGCTCAAGCGAGGGTTGAGACTGGATGCGTACTTTGAGATGATGAAAGGGAAAGGGGATGCTGCATGGGCTGGCTGGATGTTCCCACAAAGCTGCTGCTAACTCCCCGGCTTTGGGTATTATTGCCCAAGCTCCAGCAACTATCCCCACCGCTTCTAAAAATGGAGCTGCCACCAGCAACATTGGTGGTGCTACCAGTGCTGTTGCAAGCAATAGAGCATCAAGCAATAGAGCTGCTGATAGTGAGCAGATTGTTGGTGGCGCTTCCGAAGCTGCGGGTACTATCCGGGCTGGGAAGAGTGGCGGTGCTGCTGGGGGAGCTGGTTTGACAGAGGCCGAGGAGGGAAGAGGCACGAGGGGAGGCCTGGGAAACGAAATGGAGCTTGGGAGAAAGCAACTGGGGAGGGAAACGGAGTTGGGGAGGAGAGAAGGAAGGGGGGGAGGGGCGAGTGGAGAAAGGGGAAGCAAGGGGTGTGGGGGAGCAAGCTAGCGAGGAAGGGAAGAAATATATGGGGTCGGTGGAGGGGAGGGTGGCAGCAGGGAGGTGGGGAGGGCGTTGGAAGGAATGATGACGACATGCCGCAGTACCGCGTGTGGAACTGGATCGCCCGGGCCCCTCTATATCGGTACGTTTCATCCCACCGTTTTTCTTGAAATACCCTATCTGCCTACCCCTGGCGGGAATGATAAACGATATGTCGGTACGTGTGAGTGAGATAAGATGTTGGGTTCCATCCTACCGTCTTCTTGTTCCGCCCCTACCCCTGGCGGGGTTGATGGACGACATGCCGCAGTACCGCGTGGCAGGAACAGAACTTGTGTTTTGTGGTTTGAAGGGAAATGGGGAGGGGAGGGCATTGGGGGGGGTTGATGGACGATAGCCACAGTACCGGGCTGTGGAAGCGGATTGCATGACCGCTCCGCTCTATACTGGTACGGGGCCTTCCCTCTTCATCCTACCCCAATCGGCCTCCATCGTGTTCCTGGCTGTCCTCCTCAGGCTCGCCCCGCTTGTCTTATCTGTGCCCCATCACAAGCCATGCTGTGCCGTGCCGTGCTTTGCGGTGCCGTGCCGTGCCGTGCCGTGCCGTGCCATGCCATGCCATGCCACATGTTCTCACCTCATGATGTGCTGATGCTGATGGAAATGGCATGCTGCACTCGTGGCGTGATGCACATCTGCATGGTGGTATGCTCCCATGCTGCGCCTCTCTCATTGTAGGGTTGGAGAAGATTCCTCGAAACGAAGGCAAGCTGCTCTTTGTGGGCAACCACACCATCTTCGGCATCTATGACATGTGGGTCGAGGGCGGAACGGGTGCATATATATGCCATGTGGGTGCATATATGCATGTGGGTGCATATATGTGATGTGGGCAACCATACCATCTTTGGCATCTATGACATGTGGGTTTCCGTTACATTCACATGGATGCAGGAATACTACATAGTTGATCCGTTCTCATAGTCGGGGGGTCGGGTTGCGTAGTTAACTCCTAGTTTATCCGTTATCTCTTGAATGCCTCCCTTCCTGATTCATGCACATCCCGTCCCTCCTTTAACCCGCCCACAGACCTCATGATCCAAGACATCCACCTTTCGACATTTACATTTACTCTGAGGGGACTATTTAGATTTACACATCTACGTCTTTCCCGGCCATGCCATGCCCCTGTTTCACAGGCCTCTCATGGATCGAGACATCCACACAGCAGCTCTCTTTCCTCCCCGTGCTACTCATGCCTGAATCCATGATCCATGATCCATGATCCATGATCCATGATCCATGATCCATGATCCATGATCCATCCCGATGCAGTCCTCGCATGGATCGAGGCATCCACATGCTAACTCTCTTTCCTCCCCGTGCTACTGCGTGCCCGGTGCATGATCACCCCCGTGCAGGCCTCTCATGATTCGCGGACATCCCACATGCGCACGGGAGTCACTCTGAGGGGGCTGGGCGCGCCAACCCCACTGGCAGGTCCCCTTTGCTGACAAGTTCACCAAATATGGCGCCGTCAGGGTGACCGCTGGGTGATGGTGATGGTGGGTGCTGGGAGTGTTGTTCACCAAGAATGCCAGGGTGACGTGTAGGAGTGAGCATTGCTGGCACTGGCACTGGGGTAGGAGTTGAGCATTGCTGGCAACTGGCACGGGGTAGGAGTGAGCATTGCTGGCACTGGCTGGGTCCCTTTGCTGAACAGTTCAAAAAATACGGTGCCGTCAGATGAGATGATGGTGATGCAGGGTGATCATTCTTCCGAGATCCTAAACCACGATCGGGTGTGATCCTCAATGGTGATGCCAGGCTGTGTAAGAGTGCTGAAGGTATTATGATGGCAACTGGCAGAGGGAAGGTTCCTTTGCCGATCAGTTCACTTCACCTCATTCTGTGCCGTTGCTGTGAGGAATGCCGGCTGGTCGTTGTGTGGTGTGGCATCCGCCCCTTCCCCTTCCTCCCCCTTTGTCTCTCCCCTCTCTTCTCCCCTAGCCCTCCCTGCCGAGCGTGCTTTCAGTTGCTGAAGGAAGGAAGGCGAGACCATGCTGCCAATACCCGGGGGAGGCAGGGACGTGGTGAGGAGGCAAGAGAGAAGTACTGCTTGTGCCGGCGAGACAGTCACTGCTTTCTTCTACTCCTCCTTCCCTCCTGCTTTCTTCCCCCAGGTGTCCCCCTAGGCGTGCTACCAGCTGCTGTGGGAGGGAACATGCTTCTCTACCGGGGGGGTGGCAGGGAAGTGGCGAAGTGAAGGGCGAGGTACAATCTCATGTGGCGAGACACTAACCATGTCTTCTCCTCCTCCTTTCCTCATCCCCAGGTCTCCCTCGGGCGTGCTACCAGCTGCTGAGGGAGGGCGAGAACATGCTGTTATACCCGGGGGCGGCAGGGAGGTTGCGAAGAGGAAAGGAGAGAAGTACAAGCTCATGTGGCGCGACACGACTGATTTTGTGCGCATTGCGATTCGCTGTGGGGCCACCATCGTGCCGTTCTCAACCATAGGGGTGGAGGACGCCTTCGACGTGCTCATGGACCCGGAGTAAGTGCTCGCTACGCTCATACGAGCAACGCTCACACTCACCCAGAGTAATTGCAGGTGTGAGTGTGTGGCAGGTACTTGCAGGCTCATGTAGGCAATGCTTGCGGCGCTCCACTGACATTGTGCTCATTGCCATCCATTGTGGGGTCACAATCGTGCCTTAAGGTTGGTTTTGAGACGTCTCAAAACCATTGTGGGGTCACAATCGTGCCTTAAGGCTGGTTTTGAGACGTCTCAAAACCATTGTGGGGTCACAATCATGCCATAAGGTTGGGTTTGAGACGTCTTAAAACCATTGTGGGGTCACAATCGTGCCGCTCTCCGCCATCAAGCTTGGGGAGGGGACGCCTTAGGTGTGCTCATGGACCTGGAGTAAGTGTCAGCATCCCCTCTGACTGTGTGCCAGCATCCCCTCTGACTGTGTGCCAGCATCCCCTCTGACTGTGTGCCAGCATCCCCTCTGACTGTGTGACAGCATCCCCTCTGACTGTGTGCCAGCATCCCCTCTGACTGTGTGACAGCTGCAGTCTTTGTCACACCACTGACCTTGCGAGGCGCATTGTTCTGCCATCCGCTGCAGTGCCACCATTGTTCCGTTTTCTACGATCGGAGTGGAAGATGCCTTTGATGTGCCCATGCACCCAGAGTTAACCTTAACTCACCTTAGTACGTACTTACTCACCTTAGTACTTACTTACTCACCTTGGTACTTACTTACTCACCCTGACCTTTTCGCCGTGAATAAACGTCTACCATCGTGTGCGGTGTATGTCCTCCCCTCCATGCTCGCTTCGGAGTTATGGCCGCTTCCGACACGCTGATGCATGCTCTTGGACATGTGGAAAGGAACGCGCATCAGCCTTTTCCTCGCCCATCCGCGCAACCGCGACAAAGGAGAATGCGCAGCAGCCCCTTTCTGAAACCACTTTTATCGCCCTCTTCCACCTTCCTCGATCCTCCATGACATCACAGGGAGATAGTGGCGCTCCCTGTTGGGCCTTTTCTTAAGCCGGCACTCCAAGCTATCGGCATCTAGACCGTGCTTTCCCCTCTGGCCTCCAATGCCTGCTGATTACCCCCTCGTATTTCTCCCTCCGTCCGTCCCCCCTCCTCTCGGTGCTCCTTATCCCACAGGGCAACCATGAGCTCCCCAACCGGTCCCTTCCTTAAGCCGGCGCTCCAAGCCACCGGCCTGCAGACAGCGCCGTTACCCCTCGCCTCTTAAGCTGGCCTGCTGAGAGACTCTCATACATTCTCCTTCTTTCCCCACCCCCCCTCCCCCCCCCGCTCCCCCCCTGACTTGTTACCCCACAGGGAAATCATGGCGTCCCCTCTCGGCCCCTGGTTGAAGCCAGCACTCCAAGCCACCGGCTTGCACACAGCGCCCTTCCCCTCGCCTCCAACGCTGGCCTGCTGCCCGCCCCGAGCGCCTCTACTTCCTCTTCAGCGACCCCATTCGCACAGACGACCTTGACCCGAGTATCGTGCGCAATAAGGAGGAGTGCAGCAGAATATACCAGGTGAGCTAGTATGGAGTACAGCAGAAGAGTTTGTCGACTGCGAAAGTCACCTCTGCTGGCTCCCGCCCGATTGAAAGGCTCTCTCTACAGCCAGTGCAGATGGTGCGGGGAGGAGTGGAGCAACGTAACACCCGTGCATCATTTGAGTTGACTCAAAAGTCAATGCAAACATCCCTGGCACCTTTTGAGTTGACTCAACACCCCTGGCATCCCCGCTGCTTGTGCCTGTTTCCCTCCACCCCACCCCTGCCAGCTCAGATGGTGCGGGCTGGTGGAGGAGGGAATAGAGCATTTGAAGAGTATCTGACTTGCCCATTGCTCTGTCATTCCCACTACCCGTTTCCATTACTTTTGTCGTTCCAACCAATCCTGTGCCAAAGCGAGGGAGTGTTAAACTAGGTTGTGTTATGTGTTTGAGAATTCTTAAGAAAAGCACAACCTGTGCATGTCTACTACCCTGTCTTTCCACTCCTGTGCCCATTTCGCAGCACCCCTGCTTCAACAGGCGGTGCGGGGCAGGAGGAGGGAATAGAACACTAAAAGAGCGCCCAACCCTTCCCATTGCCCCTGTATTCCCAGCACCCCCGTCCAATTTCCCACCATCCCTGACCTGACTAGCCTATTGCCCTGCCATTCCCAACCCCCTGTGCTGTGCCGGTTTTCACCAACAGGCGGTGCGGGGCCGGGTGGAGGAGGGAATAGAACACAAAAAGAGCGCCAACCGTTCCCTTTGCCCCTGTATTCCCACCATCTCCGTCCCATTTCCCACCGTCCCTGACCTGACTGGCCTATTGCCCTGCCATTCCCACCCCCCTATGCCCAATTTTCAACAACAGGAGGTACGGGGTAGGGTGGAGAGTGGAATAGAGCAGCTTATGAAGGTTCGCCAGGAGGACCCCCTGCGAGAAACACTCCCTCGGATAGCGGTGAGACATGGGGTGTGGTGAAAAAAAGGGTGAGGTATGGGTGAGAAAAGGGGTGCGATAAGGATGGGGTAATGGGGGCTGCTGGATGGGGAACTCGAGGAATAGAGCAGCTTATGAAGATTCGCCAGGAGGATTTCCGGCGAGAAACACTCCCTTGGATAGCGGTGAGACATGGGGTGTGGTGAGGAAAGAGACGGGCAGAAAGGGGCGACCGGACAGGGGCAGGCGGAAAGGGGCGTGTGAATAACGGTAAAAGGAACGGGGCATGGTGTGGTAATGGGGTCTGCTGGGACAATATCTTGCATGCATAGAGAGCTCGGCAAGAGGACCCACGGCAATAGACTGTTTCAGGTAGGGGTGAGTGATGACGCATGAGAAAAGGGGTACAAATGCGGGATAGAGTTTTGGGATGTGGTGGGATGGGGCATTGCATGCAGAGAGCAGCAAAAGAAGGCTCGCGCTGACACTGTGCTGGGTAGCCGTGAGAAAGGGGCATGGGTAGGAATGGGGCATGGGTAGGAATGGGCATGGGTAAAGATGGCATATGGGTAGGAATGGGGCATGGGTAAAGATGGCATATGGGTAGGAATGGGGCATGCGCAAGGCTGAGGGATGGGTAGGAATGGGAAACGCGTGGGCATGAGGCGTGGTGAGATGATGGGGTCTGATGGGAAGGAGTTAGAGCGTGTTCCTACCAGCCTCTTCCCAGGCAACCTCATCCCAAACCTTCTTGGGCCGAGGTTCACGAACTCAAGCACCCCTTCCCAGTCACGTACGAAAACTGTCGCTCACCACGTTTGGTCACGAATCATGTCGCCTGCATGCCACGTAGTCCGCTTGTAATCGCACGGATTTCGAAAACAGTCGATAGGCGGGCCCACGTCCCGGTTAGCTGTTCACAAATTCGCAGTCGCATGCGCTGACGACAGCCACGTACACACGCATTTCGCCGCGTGCCAACCAAGCTGACAACTCACAAATCCACTGTCCTTGGGTTATGAGCGCTGGTCTGCAATTCGAACCGTCGAATTCGTTTGTGTGGTTTTTTATTGGTCGGCACAAACCGCGGAATCAAGTTTGAACGAAACGCACTCGTTTGAAGGGCAGCTCAACAACATTTCACATCAAGTCGCACAGTTGCCTAGTCACCCTTTGTACAGTGTCGCGCGCATCCCAGGCCGACAACTTTGTCTGGGAAGAGGTTGGGCTTGGCTTCGGCGTGATTCAGGCGAGATGTGCTAGTTTGGGAAGAGGTTGCCTGGGAAGAGGCTGGTAGGAACACGCTCTTATTAGTGCCAAAGCCCACTGAGGGCGTGTCCAGCGCGTTCATTTTGCCCCAACACGAGTTTTTGACGTTTTTTTAACACGCCGAAATATTGATACGCCAGGTGTGAATGTGTTGAGGTACACCTACAGTATCAACAGCAAAACGCGCGGACACGAGCCCCGCCCGTGTCTCGACAAATGAGCCGGTGCGCAGCTCGCACATAACAGACTGACACGCGAAAACAGCAGGGTAACCAAATTTCGCCCCGGGAAAGAGGCCCCGCCCGCTTTCGCGAACACGCATTACGAGCCGCGACTCCACCCAGGGGGGAAAAAATGGAGGGCACAATTTCCTCCGCGCATGCAACTCCAATTCTGTTTTCGCCTGTGCGGAAAGCGAGTTGCGCATACAATTCCTATTCTTTTCCGCTTTTTTTCGCCGTGCTTCGCAAGCGTAACGAAAGCCTGGCGAATGTAAGCGTTCTATTTTTCGCCAGCCAGGATTTGGACGTTTCTGCCGTGTATATAATTTGGGCACGATCTCCATTCGGTTTGGAAACGTGCGGCCCACGTCTGTGGGCACCTTTGGAGGGTGTCCGCCAAAACCGTCAATTTCTCGTGCATGTCCGAATGGACACGAAATTTCGGGTTACGAGGTCGAAATTTCGTACCTGATATGCTAAGTGAAAGTAAACGAACGCGCTGGACACGCCCTGACCTCAAACTCCCTTGTCTCTCTTTCTTCCTTTCCGTGTGTTCTTCGTTTTCGCATGGCAGGTCAACCTTTTGGACGGCTGGGATGGCACTTGACCAACTCTTCTGGTTTAGATTATTTCGATGGGAGCTGTGTGAACTGTGCAACTGCGCAGACGAAGCCGCACAGATTCGTTCTGTTCATTTCTTTACTACATGCTGCTGAAAGGAGTAATACCGGAATGGTAGGACTACTCTTTCTGTCGTTGCAGATCGTACCGTATTCCCAACACCCTAGGGTATCGTCAAAATTTCATTAAAAAAACGTATGGGTGTTATCAGTAGGCTGGAAAAATATTAAGCCCATGTCTTATGGAAAAATGCAAAATGAATTTGGCACTTAGAGGCCAGAACTTTACCAAGCAACTGCTACTGAGGAATCTGCTACAGAGATCGCACACTTTGACAGGGTCATTTCGTTGCCTCTTAAAATCGTGGGAGACTGATCCAGCAGCAGTGCCAGGTGTCGTTGACCAATCTCGTCTGAGTACTGTAAACAGAGCCAGTTCTGTGCTTCGGAAAGCAGTCGAGTTATTCTCGACCATTGCTGCTGACGTGATCGGGGTGGTTCAACTGCAAGATGGACGGTCAAGATCCTCTCGACTCTTGCTGTCTTTCGATTTCGTTTTGCCACTTGTATTGATTCGTCTGCCCGTCTTTGCGCTGCGAATGGCACCTGACGCGATTTTCATCCTGCTCGCCTTTTGCAGCTGAGCGGACCTTGGTAACGAAGGACGAAATACTGTTGAAAGCAAGAAAAACGAGCAGGGTGTTATGTAAAATGCAAACCCAGAAAAGCGGGTACTCTAAAAAATGCGCCATATCATAAGCTATCCCCTGCATATGCCACCCATGGGCTGACTATTTTGGCGGGTCTTATATACGGGGAATAACAGTATATCCATGCAGCTGTTGCTGTCCTGTGCTTTTCATTCTGAAGCTCTTACTGGAGCTTCCTTCCCTCTCCTTGTTTCTTGTATCCTTCCCTTGGACATCGGTAGCTGTGTAATTTTCCGAGTGCTGCAAATGCTGTACTTTTTACAAGTCCAGGATACTACATGCTACCAATGCTCCTGTCACTGGCAGTGGCATGAGGCAGCAAGGCAGCGCCAATCAGCCTTGGAATCCCACCATGACCCTTCAGCCCACCATCTTTCAAGACATCTCAAGGTGAGTTTTTTGTCAACTTATACATATGCTTTTATATGTAGATGTTATAGACTAGATAGGTTTATGTTCTTAGAGGGTACAACACCAACCCTATATGTCCCCTGTATCTTCTTGTTCTAGTCACTTGGCTACTCTGATTTTTCACCTCAATTGTCACTGGTGAGAGCTTTTCACCTCCAGCTGCCATTCAACCTGTCAATCTGGCAGCCAGTCCAATACCTCCAGCCAGCCCTCCCTGCTCTATCAGTCATGCTACTGCTTCAACCAGCAACTCATCCTCTCCCACGGCCCCCATGCAGTCTGTTTTTTAGGCGCCTAAAAAATAGACTCTTCAGCCAGCAACAGGCGGAGGCACTCCAACGGGCTGCCCCCCATTCTGCGGCACAGCACGAGGTGAGGAGCAATGCGCTATAGTTGCGGCTTGACAGGGAGTGTGGGTTGAGATTGGTTGCAGGGGAGGGGACAGAAAGGGAAGGGCCTGGTTCTGAGTCTGAGTACGAGCTTGTGCCACGGCGTCTGTGTGTGGCTGTGAACCATGTCTGTGCGATCGGCCTAGCGCTCCTGTTGCAGCAGGATATTCAAGAGGCGCTTATGAGTCTGATCCCAAAGCTGGTGGATGGTGGTGATGTGCAGGTCAGATTATGGTCGAAACTGTCAGTTTCTGTGGTGTGAGCGGGTTGTATCCGTTACAGAGGAAGAATGGAGTCTACCCTGTAGCGGCTTGAGTGACATTGTTGTAACGTGACGAGTCGAGGAGTTTGGGTGTACACGCTAGCGTACGACAAAGTAAGGGATAAAAATTCCTTACTCTACCCCCCCCCCCCCCCCCCCCCCCCCCCCCCCCTCCTAAACGAGGCTGCAGGTATCGGAATCATTCAGACGCTGATAATACGCTATTAGAATTGGGTGTGATTCTATATCAGCGAGGGGCACCCAGCTGTCATCCTCAGACGTCCGATCACGCCATCTGATGAGAAAATCTACCATCCGACGTTTCTTCTGTGTGGTGACTCGATGGCCGAGAATCTTCAGAGGCTCGCTTGTCGGTTCTTGCAGGGGTGTAAGCTGCGGGCCGATGCGTTGACGTGCCAAATACGACGAACTGGAAACGTAGGGCCGTAGGAGGCTGACGTGGAAAGCCGGGTGGTGACGCCAATCAGCCGGAAGACGAAGGTGAGCTATGACAGGTGTCACCATATTGGTCACTTGAAAAGGACCACAGAAGTAGGGTCAAAGTTTGCTCGGGATCGGCAGGCGCAAGTTGCGAGTGTCAAGTAGTACCAAGTCCCCCACTTTGTAGGTGACGTCACATCCATAACGATCGGCTTGTCGGCTTGCGACCAGGTTGGCTTTCCGGATTGCCTCAGCTGCTTTTTCTCAGGCTGCGATGATGTCTTCGGCAAATCGCTGGGACCGGAGCACGGGCATCTCAATGTTTGGTGTAGAGGGTACCTCGAGGTCCTATTCGTAATTTAGGGAAAATGGGGATTGATGGGTTGTTGTGGAAGGCGCGTTATTATACACGAATTCCAGCAGCGGATGGGATTTCTCCCATGTCTGTGGGTCAGTACAGGTAGTCCGAATGAGTTGCTCCAAGGTTTGGTTGACTCGTTCAGTCTGCCCATCAGTCTGTGGGTGGTAGGCGGGAAAAAAGCTGTAATTTGGTGCTGAATTGGTCCCACAGGTGGCGCCAGAAATTCGATGTGAATTTCGGGTCTCGGTCTGAAATAATGGCGGTGGGCAGTCCGTGCAGTCTAATGACGTTGGTGATGAACAGTTGGGCAGTTTGCTTAGCTGTAATTTTCTGTTGGCAGGCGATGAAGTGTCACATTTTCGTGAGTCGGTCAACGACCACGAGGATGGCGTCGTTTCCGCTGGGCCAGGCCGGCAGTCCTGTCACGTAGTCCATCGTGACATGTTGCCAGGGTCTCTTGGGCGGATCCAACGGCTGTAGGACATCAGCTGCTCACTGATGGGATGATTTCATGAACTGGCAGACGATGTAGGAGGACACGTACTTGCGCACGTCGTCGGCCATGTTCGACCAGTAATAATTGCGCTGCAACGTCTTCATGGTTTTGTCGACTCCGAAATACCCGGAGGTAGGATTGTCGTGGGATTCCTGGATTAAGAGTAAGTAAATCGTAGCTGGGAACCCAGATGCAGGAAGTGTCGCGCTTATTGAAGTAGTGTCCAGCAGCGGTAGTATGCTGTTTGTGAATGGCGGAGAAGAAGTATGGGTCGACTTTGTAGCCGTCGGTAAATAGTCCGCTAAGGAGTGGGCTAGTTTGGGCGACTAGTATGGCGACTGTATGGGCGGTGGGTCAAGTCAGGGCATCAGCAATGTTGTTGGCGGCCCATTTGTAGGTGATGGTGTAATGGAAATTTGACTCGAGGAAATCGAGCCATTGGATCTGTCATGGGTTGAGGGTCGGCCGCCTCCCGCCTGGGTGGACTGGCGCTGGTGGTGGTGGTGGTCGTGGTGGTCGAGCGCATAGCTCGGCGTCGGGTGGTGGTGCGAGTGACAGGTCCTCGCTCCAGACCTGTCCTCGCCACGGCCTTGTATGTGGTAAGACCGGTCATACCCCCGGTTGCTGTTTCAGTCGCCTGGACGACCTGTTTCGTCTCCGCTTCGGCCCCGCGCCGGACCTCCCCGACTGGCACAGTCTGCTCCTGTCGTGGGTGTTAGGATCTTTGATATGGACATGGATGAGATTAGCTTTGCCTTGTATGTGTTGTATGTTGATGACTCTAGTGTGACTGGTTCCTATTACCCCGTATTGCCTAGTGTAGGTCTCTCCAGTGTGCCTAGTTTAGGCTCCCCTGCTGCGTCAGGCGTAGGACCCTTTGCTTTGTTAAGCCTTGGCTCCATGCTAGCTCCTCTGCCCCAAGCCACCACCGCCGCGCTCTCCTTCACTCTCGACTCGGGGTGCATCTCGGTGTTTGTTTCGGAACCACAGTACGCTTAGTCCGCTCGCATTCCCTGCCGCCATTACCCTTGCAGACCCTTCCACAGGTCCAGTAGTTGCCCGTAGTTCCACCACTCTCCCCTGTCCGGCAGTTCCATCAGGCTCTCTTACAGGCCTTCACATCCCCTCGTTCTCTCGGAACCAAGTTGGTGTCGGCTGTCTTCAGGACCTTGGTGTCACCACTACGTTCTTTGGTCACGAGAGGTATGCTGTCTGTACCGAGGCCGCCACTTGTGTCCCACTCACCACGTTCCCCCGGGACCTGGTGTCTGGACTGTTCACGCTAGACACTGCGTCCCCCCAATTGGGACGCCCCCCCCAAGTGGCAGCGTCTACCTAGGATGCTGCGACTTGCTCGTGTCGATCGCTTACCCCATCCGTTGCTTCTGTGGCACCACCGTCTAGTCACCCCGCTCTCCACCCATCTCCATCACAAGTCTCAGCACGGTCTTGTCTTAGGTTTTCCTGCGTCGTTCCCTGCGCTCCCCCCTCAGCAACGCCTCAGGTGCACCCCCTGCGTCGAGGGCCGGCTCCGCCATGCCCCTCACTCCACTTCGTTCCCCCCCACCACCGCACCATTACAGACCCTATATATGGACGTCTAGGCCCCGCCCCGTCCATGGGACATCGCGAGCGTTACTTCCTCGTGCTTGTCGACGACTAAACTCGCTACACAACTGTTTTTTCCTTTGGAGCGGAAGGCCGACGTGCCCGACGTTCTTATCCCATGGCTTGTCTCTGCGCGTCTGCATTGGCGGTCTCCCAGTCTTGCGTCTTCACTCTGACCGTGAGTGGCGAGTTTGCCTCTGGCTACCTTGGTTGCTTCTGTCGTGCGGAGGGCATCACCCAGACATACACCCTACCGGACTCCCCACAGCAAAATAGGGTCACTGAGGGATGCATCGATTTGGTCATGGAGGTGGCCCGTACCTCCATGATCCATGCCGGTGCACCCCATTTTATGTGGCCATTCGCTGTTCGCTATGCCGCCCACCAGCTTAACCTATGGCTGCACCCTCAGCGGCCACGGGTTTCGCCGACCCTCCTCTGGACCGGGTCTCCTGGACGCGTCTGCGTTCCACGTCTGGGGCTGCCTTGCTCACGTTCGTGCCTCTGGCGTGGACAAGCTCACTGCCCACACCGTCTCGTATGTCTTCCTAGGTTTCCCCCTCGACTCGTCTGACTGGAACTTCTACCACCCGCCGTTGCACCGTTTCTGTCACTCTTGTAACGTTGTTTTTTATGAGTCCGCCTCCTGCTACCACCACTTTCTCCACTGTGGTCCCCGGTCACTCCCCCCCAGTTCCTGGTTCCCCCCTCTCCACCAGTCGCCCCTGTCCCCCCCCTCCGCCCTGCCCCGTCTGGTGTGTCCCACATCACCCCTCTCCCGTCGGTAGTCCCTGTCGAGGGGTCTGCTGACTCTCGAAGCGCGGCGGAGTCCCTTCTCCCGCCTGTCCCTGCCCCGGTCTCTCCTCCCCTGTCGCCGCCGTTGCTGTACTCGCCGCAGCCGCCGCCGTCGTCGTCACCATTGCTAGGATTTGTGCGTTCTGGGGGTGATGGGGAGCGTGCCGGAGCGGTTACTGGAGCGGTTTCCCGTTCTGGGGGTGCTAGCATGGGGCTTCCTAGAGAAAGCTGTGGTCCTGCTAGAGGTTCTGGTGTTGGAGTCGGGCAGCAGTCGTCGCAGTCGCCACCGATGTTCGCTCTTCGCCTCCTCGGCCTTCCTTCTCATGACTGCCCGCCGGTGCCTCCTCGGTTGCCGCCGCCTCCTCCCCTGCTGATCTACGGCCCTGTGTTTCCTCCTGTGGACTCTTCTCCAGCTCTTTTCCCTCCTCGTTCTCCTCTTGTATCTCCTCCCCTCTCTCCAGACCCGACTTCTCCGTCTCACGCCTGGGCCCGTCGTCCGTCTCATGCTCGTCCTACCTCCCCTGTTCCGTGTTCTCACCCTATGCTGCTTCGCTCCCATGCGTCTCGTGCTCCTCCGGTCCTCCCGTCTCCTCCCCCGTTGTCGCTCGCTGTCTCCCTGCCTCCGTTTTACTGACTTCCTCTGTGCCATTCGTCCCCTTGTTCGTCGTGTCCTTGCCTCCCTCATTACCGACCCATCTGTTACTGTCTCGAGCCTGGATGCTCTTATCGCTGTTGCCGCTGACTTTGCCTCTACCTGCTGCCTTGACTACGCCACCGCTCTTGTCTCTGACCCTGCCTGCCCTCCATCTGTCGGGGGTGTGGCTGCCCTTGGCAATGACGTCCTACAGGACAGACAGTACGAGCTTGCTTTCCTGTCAGAGGCCGCTC